CAGCTGGAAGAATGGGTGGTACAGTGGTAGCAAGTATGGGGGGGGGGGGAATTGGAAGCAATGGACTCTCCTAGAAGCCCCGGGACCTGGCAGCTGCCCCACCTGTGGGTATGCAGATGCCAGCCCTGCCCAGGTCTGTGCGCTCATTTTCACAGATAAGGTCACCTGTCCTGGAAGGAAGCACAACTCTCTGACAAAGCTTTCATAACCTTTCTTGTGGGCCTCCCATAAACTTTCTCAAGTCTCCTCAGCACGAGTGACTAGCGACAGTGGAGAAAACACTTGTCCGCTTGCTTTTTAAAATCTGTCGCCACAAACATGCATGATTTAAGATCCAAATGACATCAACATTTCAGAGCCAGAAATCGTCAAAAAAGCTAGCATACCAAAGACAATTTGCATAAATGAAACTGCACAACATTACTGATAATTGACATGTGGATTAATAATTCATAGAGTTTCTGCAACCCAGAACACTGGTTGCTGCGAGTCCTTTATTAGGAAGTGGCACACACCAGTTCTCCGAATAAATAATAAATATACACAGGAAGGCCCTGAAAAATGGTTTACGTGCACTGGCACGTAAATCTGTACGTGGTTCACTCTCAAATTACTGGCAAGTGTTCACCTCTCCTGACTTATGGCGACCCTCTAGGGTTTTCAAGGCAAGAGGCATTCAGGGGAGGTTTGCCGTGGCCTGCCTCTACAGTGTGATCTGGGACTTCTTTGGTGGTCTCCCATCCAAGGACTAACCAAGGCTGACACTACTTAGATTCTCAAGATCTAATAAGAACAGGCTAGCCTGGCCTAGGGTCTCCATCTTTTTCTTTTCTGTGAAGCATATCTAAGAATCCTCATAGCCCTCCAAAATCTTTGCCTCCCGTTCCCTTCACTTTAGGGTTGCCAGGTCTGGGTTGGAAAATACCTGGAGACTTTGGGGGTGGATCCAGGAGAGGGTGGGGTTTGGGGAGGGGAGGGGCCTCAGCATGGTACAATGCCATAGAGTCCACCCTTCAAAGCAGCCATTTTCTCCAGGGGAGCTGATCTCTGTCAGCTGGAGATTGGTTGTAAAAGCGGGAGATCTCCAGGCCCCACCTGGAGGATGGCAACCTTACTTCACTTCCTGGTTACACTAGTATCCCGCCTATCCCTCCCATACACCTTATCTGTTGTAAAGATTATCTTTTGTAAAGAACCACATTTGTTTCTGTACTGAGCTTGCCAACCTACAGGTGGTGGCTGGAGATCTCCCAGAGTCACAACTGGTCTCTAGACAGCAGAGATTAGTTCCCCTGGAGAAAAGTTTTGCATTACCCAGGTAGACTGCTGGGCTTGAAACTCCTACTATAGTCAAGAGAACTGTTCTTTTCTTTCTTTTTCAAAAATCAATTCCATTCCACAAAGGAAACCCTGCTGTCTCTAAAGAGCTATTGTTGTTTATAGAATCATAGAATCATAAAGTTGGAAGGGACCTCCAGGGTCATCTAGTCCATCCTCGTGCACAATGCCCCAAAATTCAAAACTACCCCCCACACCCCCAATGACCCCTGCTTCATGCCCCGAAGATGGCAAAAAAAAACCCCAACCCTCTAGGATCTCCACCAAACTGGCCTGGAGAAAATTGCTTCCTGACCCCAAAGCGGTGATTGGCATTTCCCTGCGCATGTAAGAAAGAGCCACAAGAACTAAACAGTGATGCAACCCTTCCAGCCCTCCCTCTCTGCCTAAATGCACAGAATCAGCATGGCTGTCAGACGGCCATCTAGCCCAGGGGTGTCGAACTCATTTGCTATGAGGGCTGGATCTGACATAAATGAGACCTCCTTCCCCGCCCCCGGACACAGCGTGAAGTACCAGCCAAAGTAGCAGCTCTTGTTTCCTGCTCGGGCTCGGCGCCGCCTACCCCCCGCTGCCGCATCATAAAGCCGGCTGCCTGCCCGGAGAGGAGGCTCCAGCCCCAGCGCAACGCAGCGGCAGCAGTGGCTGTTTCGAGCTCGGGCTGGACAGCGCCTCCCTCCTCGCAGAGCAAGCAGCTCCCACAAGCGCGCCTAAATTGGCACCGCCTCCTGCGAGCCCAAGCCGGGCGCTTCCCTATTTGGGCGTGGATTACCAGTTCACCCGACAGTCAAGTATTTCCATTGCCTGTTCTGGGAAAATACTAGAAAAATACCGGACATTTAAATTTCCCAGACAGCCAGTGAAAACACCAGACTGTCCCCGGGTACCTGGCAACCCTACCTATGGGGCCAGGAGTTCTCCTACGATGACAGCAGATCTACGGACTACAGAGACCAGTCCCCCTGGAGTAGAGTTGCCAGCTCTCGGGGTCAGGAAAAACCTGGAGATTTGGGGGGTGGAGCCTGAGGAGGGCGGGGTTTGGGCATAATGCCAGAGAGTCCGACTTCTGAAGTGCCCATTTTCTCCAGGTGAACTGATCTCTGTCACCTGGAGATTTGTTGTAATAGCAGGAGATCTCCAGCCGCCACCTGAAGGTTGGCAACCCTGCCCTGGAGGAAATGCTCATTTTAGTGGGCGAACTCTGTGGCATCCTTCCCTCTGAGCTCCTCCCTCATTTCCCCAAATTCTTCCCCAGGCACTGCCCTCGGATTGCAAAGAATTTCCCAGTGGCCGCCTAAGATTTTCTTTGAAGAGCAAAGTGGAGGAATGATTTTTCAAACTGGGAAATAGTGATCGCAGCAGGGTCTGGCCATGCCCAGCACTAGTCCTTTGTGCAGTAATCCTTGAGTTAAACAGAACACCACTTTGTTGGAAACAACTGCCGCTGATGTTTTGTTGGAGGCACACCAATGTACAATTTCTTTTTCTGAAAAACAAATTTCTCGAGGGACAGAAAATATCTGTCTAGCCAGAACACAATGAAACAAAGAGCTGAGGGGGGAAAGCCAGTCTGTGTGTATCAGAGAGACCTTTGTTCAGAACAGAATCTATTAGATCTCTGTCCTTGCTTCTGATGGCAACTGAAAGCCAGGCCTCTGGGCAATCCAGAAGCTTCCTGAATGGTGAAATATGGTAAATAGCAGTGCTGGTTTGTTGAAAAGTTCCAAACACCATGGTAGCATAGCATTGCCAACCTCCAGGTGAAGCCTAGAGATCTCCCAGAACTGCAACTGCTCACCAGACAACAGAGATCAGTTGCCCTGGAAGGAATGGCTGCTTTGGAGGGTGGACTCCATGGCATTATAATCCACTGAGGATGGTCCCTCCCCTCCCAAACTCCACCCTCCCCAGGCTCCACCCCTAAATCCCCAGGAATTTCCCAGTCCAGTTCTACGATACCCTACAACACAGACCGAGGTTTGGGGGGAGCATGTGGGGAGCGGGGCGATGCTGGTCGGAGTCCCCCACAAGGCAAGAGAGGGCGGGCTCGAGGGAGAGACAGAGGACCCCTACCATTCCATCTCAATGTTCACGCCGGGGTTATAGATCAGATCGGGACCGATACACCACATCCCGAGGCTTCAGGAATTAAAGGGATAAAGACAGACAGACAATGAGATTAGAGAAAACACATGTATTAGAGAAACAGATGAGGAGCTTGGAGGATAGATAGCACCTGGGAAGAAGGGAAGGTGAAAACAGTTGATTGTAACTGACAATAAAAGAAGGAAACTGTGAACACTGAGGAGGATGGAGAGCAGAGAGAATGAAACACAGAGAGAAGGGCGGTATGCTGCTCAGAGCGAAGTTTGGAGTGTGCTGAAACACCCAATGCGCTGGGTCTGAGGTGTTGGTTTCCGGATTTAGTGAATCTTCACAACGGCGACCGGTTCCCCGGCGTCTGGCAGGGAGCAGGATCTTGACACACAATATCTTTTTATTAACACCAGCCAATATATTATGCATAAGTGAACTGGCTTTAGAATTCCCCACAACTCTTGATTTGGCTGATGTTCCATTCAAAAATGGGGGGGGGGAGAGAGAGAAACATCTCAGGGAATGAGGGAGAAACCCTTAATTTGCAGCTTGCAAAATCTTAAAATGGAGGACAGGACTCAGTTGGATTAGCTAGGAGCAAAACAGGTTTCAAGATGCATCGAAGGTTACTGGGACACAGAGAACAAAAAGAACTGCCCACATCCTTTGAGACTATAAAACCGATCAGTGCATCTGGCAAATGCTAAATTAAAGGGTTTCAGATGAGCTGTTCTGCACCTCTCCAAAATACTCTTTGCCCCACAACGGACGGCGGGGGGGGCGGGGAATGGATCACCAGATCACATCGTTTTAAGTCAGTACCCAAATGGTTCTTAGCTGCAGTGAAAATTGCAGTATGTCGTAGCATAATCAGCTGCATTAACCACAACTGTAACAAGCTACTCTTCTAACAAGATCATCTACTTGCTCTGCCAGAACACTTCCAGAGGCAGAATGTAGGGGACTTCCTAATGCTCTGCATTTCCCACTTCCAAGTTTCAAATACAGTTTTCTACAATGAGGAGAGAGTGCTAGAGATTTATAGTGCAATCCTAAAACAGGTCTATCTCAGAATCCTACTCAAGTCTACTCAATGGAGTTTACTACCAGGAAAGTATTTTTAGGGTTATAATCAAAGTCATTTTTATGTCTTCTTTCTCCCAGCCTTCGTTCTCTTCGTTCTTCTTGGTATTCTCATGGTAGAATACCCAATAACCATCAGCAAAGTTATCTCAAAATAAAAACTAGCAACCATTAACACCAATCAACAGCAATAAAACAATCAAAAACATAAAAGCTGCTGCAGTTGAATGTTAAAATTCAATAAAGCAAATAGAATAGCTGATGTGCAAATGCTGGCAGCAGGTTACGATTAACCAGACTAAACATATTGTTTGAAGACAGACAGATGTGTTAGTCTCTAAAGCAGCATTTCAAAAGAAACAGGTTGTCCCAGCTCAAAAACTGGTTCCACTATTTCAAAAGTTACTTTGCAGTCCAGGATTGCTAAATTCTTGCTGCGGGTGGGAGATCTCCTGCCCCCAGGAGCTGTTGCCCACCAGCACTCCAGTTGCTGGCAGAAGAAATTAAAAAACACCTGTCAGCAATGCCATGATGTCACTTCCAGGGGAAACACATAAGTGATGTTAGTCCTCTCTAGGAATCTCTGGAAACCCTGTGGTAAAACCATAGCATTTCCAACAATTCTGAGAAAGGACATCACAGACAGTGCCCCCTCCTACACCCCAGTCTTCAGCAGGTTGCCAGGCATGGTCTGGCAACTTCAGCCCATTCTATATTTTGCAGACGTATGCATTATCACAGTGCTCCATGATGGATGCCATAGATAGTGTCATTTGGTGATCTTGCCCTCTTCCCTCCCTTTGTTTCTTCTTTCTTTCCCGCTGAGCAGCCTGTGTCTATTTTCTTCTTATTTGTCAATCTATGGTTGTCCCATCCTGTCACATTATTATATCTTTTGATGCTGGCCCAGCCCAAGGTCTTGAGGGAAGAGGCAAAATCACTTGCTAATACTGTACTCCTGTGATGGCACATGTTCAAAAATAAACAAATATTTTATTTAACTTGGAGGGGGAAAGGTCAGATGGAATCAGTGGTAGGATGTATGAGGTGAACCAATAATAAAAACTGAGGTAACTTTGTAATCACACTAAATCCAGCTAATATGTACCCAACAAGTAAGTATTTTGATTTTCAACAAGATCTTTGAAACTTTGAGGAGAGAGGCTTTCTTTTCGGTTTCTGCTTTAACTTGCAAGCAAAGGTTTCTAAGCTCCACTGACACTTCATGTTTAGAAGCCAGGAACATACAACCAAGTTCCTAAAATCCTTCTCTATACACAGACCAGGGATCACTCCTCTTTTAAGAGTCATCTCCCTTTTCACTGAGCAAGGATTACTTCCCTTGACTAGAAGCTCTGTCCCTTTTCGGCTTGAATAGGGATCTTCCATGATCCTCTTACTCCTCTTGCCTCCTTCCCAGTCCTCAGTCAGTGCTAAACTGAATCTACTACTGTCAGTTCCCAACTATCATTTCTTAACTGATACTCTCCACAGAATTCTGTTTGAACAGCCTCAGAGGTTCTCAGATTCTGTGAGGCATTAACCCCTGACAGTCTACCACACACCCATTAATATGTTTCCTGGCAACCACTTCTCTCTTCCTCAAAGCATCCTACTCAAAACAAAGAATTAGTCTTAGCTTTTCTCTCTCTCATCAGAGGAGACGGTACTTCAGAAGAGCCATGAGGGCTCTAAGTCTGCAGACAGCAGCCACTCAAAAACAGTTGCCTCCATTATTGGAAGGCGGAAAGCTGACTCATAACTTCCCAACATTTGATCATTGGCCCCAGTACCATAAGGCAACCATTCTATGCCTTAAGGGCAAGCGTTTTGCAGTGGCGTTCATTGCCTTTTCTCAAAAATTCCAAAAGTCCCCACAGGCTCAGCAAGGTTGAGGACCTTGATTAGCTAGTAGCCATCAGCTATCGAAAGACACTAAGCAAACGCCTCCAGCTAGAAAGCAATACAAAAATCTTGGGAGAAAGCGTTTCCCCATTTATCAGCAGGATACCGGCAAAACTATGAACAGACTTGATTAGCCTCCGTTATCAGGACTTAAATTCTACACAGGGGGCACGCTTCAGATTCCACCTCTGTCTTCTTGTTTAATCTAAATGCTTCTGTTCAGATGATTCTTTCCAAGGAAGTGTCTTGGACAAGAAAGGTAACAAATAGATTTGCCAGCCTCCACGTGGTAAAAATAAGATAAGCTCATGGAAGAAAACCACTGTTCTATGACTTAATTGTACTTTTTATAATATTTATAATGCAAATTTCTTATATTACACAGCAATCATCCTTATGTAAAGTACATGCCATAAACATAGGCAAAGCCAGTAGATAATGATGTGAGTACAATACAAAATCTTGATGCAAATATTCTTGACACTGTTCCGGCTGTGTTCCTGGAATGTTTTCTCTTCAAGGCATCTTGATAGAGCCATGAAGTGGAAAAGCAGACTAAAAAGTCTTCGTTTTTCAAGCTCCTAAATAGCATTTATCACTCCGTTTGAAAACGTGTGAATCCAAGGAATACAAGAGATAAAGAGAACACGCTTTCCTAGGATTAACAAGTGGTTTCGGATATCTTTATCAACTCTCTCTCTCTGTTTGGGCTCATCACCAATCTCTTGACGGAACACTGCAGGAATGACAATAATGTGGATCAAGGCAACATCTCTCTAATGTCTTCCCAAACCTTTGTTTCCCACGTTGTCTTCCACATTATTGTGATTCCAGCTCACCTGGAGAAATGGCCTCTTTGGTGGGGGGAAATGGCACTATGCCCCCCAGCCCCCAGCCCCGCCCTCCTGAGTCTCCACCTCCCAAATCTCCAGGTATTTTCCAACCTGGAGCCAGCAACCGTAACAAACCTTCCCTTTGCACAGATCTCCCCCCCCCCTCGTGAAAGCAAAAAGTGATCACTTTTAAACTGCATCTCTTTCCTGCCCTTCCTTTCAAGGAAGTTGTAGAACCCACACAAAGAGCTTCAGGATCGCCTCATTATTGCCCTGTCTCCTCTTCGAGGCTCACATTTCTTTAGGTTCCCGAGCACAGCCTCCTCCCCTCGCGATCTACAGCACTGCCACACATTATACTTTTTCTTCGCCTTTTGTGTCTTACGCACAGGGACATGCTGTGTTAATGCCG